AGCTGCCGTGAACAATTTTGGTGAAATATTGTCTCCTTGTCTAACTCCTCGACCTAAGCTGAATTTTTCTGTGTCTTCGTGCAGTCGTATACTTGATGTAGCGTTCTGATAGATGTTTTTGATTAGTGTCGTGTACCTGTAATCTATTCGGCTTTGATTTAGGGCTTCCAGTATTGTTTCAAACTCTACAGAATCAAAAGCCTTCTCGTAATCGACAAATGCAAGAACCAGTGGTATGTTGTACTCGATGCACTTTTCTATTAAGATCTTTATGGTATGCAAATGGTCATTTGTGCCATATCCTGCCTGAAGCCTGCCTGTTCTTTGGGCTGATAGAAATCAAGTTTAGGTGTTAGCCTCTTTGTTAAGATTTTCATAAAGAGTTTGTACATATGTGTCAAGAGGCTGATGGGTCTATAATTTTCTAATTTAGTAATATCGCCTTTTTTGTGTAACAAGACTATTACTGCATTGTTCCAGTCTTTTGGAATCGTACCCGCATGTAAGCATTTAGTAAACAGTTCGCTTACTGATTTTAATAAAATTTCTCCACCTGCTTTTATTGCCTCGATAACGAGTCCATCATCACCAGGCGATCGATGGTTCTTCATTTCCTTTAAAGCTGCTCTTACTTCTGACACAGTAATGGGTAAAAGTATTTCCGATCCCTGATTTATGAGAGTCTTTACTCGTGTCGGTAAATTGTCTTGTGATCTTTGGCTGGTATAGAGGTCTTTGCCTTTCCGTCTTTATCTCTCAGCTTGTATATTTCTTTTTTACTTTGCGTAAGTTTTCTTTTCATTATCTTTAAACCTTTGTTCTCTTCTACTGTTTGAGTAATTACATTAGTATTATATCTTCTTACATCTTTTCTAATTTCCGCTGAAATTCTTTTATTTAGTTTTTTATATTCTTCTCTGTTTCCCTTTTCGTTCTCGCTTAGGTTTCGTCGTATTTCCATGAGAGCCCTTGTATCTTTGCTAATCTTTTCACTTTTGGTGTCATTTTTCTTGCAAAATTTGAGTTGTGCGTTTCTAACTGAGTCTGTTATTAATTGTTGAGGTTTGGGATTATTACTCTGTAAAGTTTCGGCTATATTTCTTATGTATGCTTCTGGATGATTTGGTGAATTCCAAACTATGCGTTTACAACTGTTTATCATCTTTGCTCTTTCTTTTTGTAGATTGATCGTTACTCTAGCTCTTACTGGTCTGTGGTCGCTTCCTACTGATAGTTTATTGAGTACAGTGACATCTTGAATAATTTGCTTTTTGTCTGTTATTATATAATCATATTCGCTCTTAGTTCTTCCGTCTGGACTAGCCCACGTCCATTTTCTATTCTGTTTCTTCTTAAAAAAGGTGTTCATTGCATACAGTTTGTGTTGCAGTAGAAAGTTGGTAAGCATTTCGCCTCTTTCGTTTCTTACTCCGATTCCAAAATCTCCGATTGCCACTTCTTGTTCGTCTTTTTTCCTTCCGAGTTTCCCGTTAAAATCTCCCATTATCAGATTGTAATGAGCCGGTTCCTGCTTTTTTGCTCTTTCGATTTCCTCATAGAAGGCTTCGACAATTTCATGTTCGTAATCGCTGGTGGGGGCGTATACTGGATTATTTTCAGAGTGTATCTCTTATTTAGTCTTAGATTTATATACATAACTCTTGGGGAAATGCAGTCAATGCTCTGTATATTTTTCTGTAATTTTTTGTGTACTAATAAACCTATTCCTCCAGTTGTCAATTCCGTTTCCCCTTTATAGTGGAATATGTTTCCTGATTTTAGTTTGACCTGATCTTCACCTCTTCTTTTGACTTCGCTAATTCCTATAATATCCCATTTCACATGTTTGAGTTCTTCCTCCAGTTCTGTCATTTTTTCATCCTTAGATAAAGTTCTTACATTATACGTAATTATGTGCAACGTTCGTCGTTCTTGGTAGCCTCTTACATCCCGGGGATTCTTCGCACCTCTACCCGCTGTCCGTGAGTCTTACCGCTACCTTGGTCGGGAACTAGCGAGCTGCCGGGGACTGAGGGCCGTTTTCTTGAATGTTTGTTCATGCTGAGGGGGTTTTGGGCATTTAAACACCACGCTTGCCAGGCGGGTTGGTGAGTTGGTTTGGGAAATTGGTAGGATAGTAGGTATTGGGTAGGAATGGGGTTAGGACATGATTTCTCTCCACAGGAGGTGAGAGAGAATCAAGGCTCGCGTAAGGCAGGATCGCATCCCTGAAGCAAGTCTATCCTCCACTGGGATTGTGGAAGAGTACCTACCCGCTAACCTAAATTCAAATTATATTTGAGTTCAATACAAAAGCAAATCTAAAGGCAACGGGTCTTTTTCTCTCTTGCCAGATAATTATGCCATAGAAAGCTGACAATGGATATGAGTCTACAAATTAAGAGTAATATTCGTCGTGTGCTAAAAATTAGTGAACCAGTAACCCCTAGAGCATGTAGTATCGTAAGAAAGAGAGAATACTGTACCTCAAAAAAAAACTTAAAAACGAGTACAACTTGTTACGCTTGCTCAAGGTACATCTGCAGCGAACATAGAGTTGACATATGCCTGATATGCGTAGGACATTAAGAAAACTAAGATTTAGTTAACACATTTTTGATGAGATTTAGTTTACATATGCTGTCAGAACAAGAATTTTTTTTAATATTGCTTATTTTTGGATTGTATCATTCACAATAAAGTTATTTTTTGTAAAATAATGTTTTTAATGTTTCAGATACCAATGGAAGAAATTATAAAAGTAAAAAGATCAATTGAATGAAAACCACAAACTGATATGATTCATATTAACCAGAAAGATGAAGTTTGAAATAGAATCGCCGTTTATATATAGATATTCAGAATTTCAGGTATCCAAAAAGTGCATCTATGAGTCACTCATTTATTTAAAACAATCTCATGTTGTGAGAAAAATGAGAAAAATTTTATTTGATTGAAAATAAGTTCGAGTTATTAACGGATCCGTGTTATGTGGTCCAATTTATCGAGATTTAGAGTCCGATTTTTCAATTAAAAACACTTTTATGGATGTTTCAAAATATTATGAACTTTCGAAATACGTATACCCGAAAAAAATAAATCCCAAACTTTAAATATTTTAATTTCATACTGAATTCAACATAAAGTATCAAAAACGAATGTTAGAAGAAAAACAATAAATACACCAACTATTTTACTAATGCAAAAACTAGCTTGACTACGCCTTGCTATGAATACGCATTGCAGACAATTAAATATTTTCAGTAATGTCAGATTGCATAGTTTCGTTCGTAGATTGACGTCACCAAATAGGTGAGTCAGGTTCAAGAAATTTTGTAAAACCAATAAAATGTCAGCTGAGTTTGATAAAGAAACCAATCAAACTAGCAAAGAAAGTGATATCAATAACAAACGGAAAATTTGCTCTAATATTAATACATAAAATATAGGAATAAAAAAAAACAAAACGTTCAAATGGTATTCATTAGAAATGTTGAATAAGAAAGAAGTTCCAGGTAAGTCTGTGAAAATTGTTGTAAGATTTATAGGTACGATATAGAGTACAACGGCTTAATAGTAAAAACTAAATATGAAACAACTCTGTGAAGCAAAGATAGAAACAAAAACAAAGATAATGATGATACAGTCTGTCCCAAACCCTTTTTTCAGTGCGTCACTAATTTTGACGTCATATAGGATTTAAAGAATGTCGAGAATTATTGCATGACATTTTAGTTAAATCTGACAGTTGCAGGATCGTAATCGGCTAAATGTGAAAAGGTTATTTTTTTTAAATGCATAGCAGTTTGTCATAATTCTGTTCTATTCTGTTCTATTTTATACATTCCAAGGAAAGTGCTTAATTAGCTTAGATTCGTTTATGGATTTATTATTATTTATTACAAACACACAGGCATATTGCAATGACAATTGCAATTGCAAGGCATCAAAGTAAACATTCCTGTGATAAAATAACATCGATTTAAATCAGTCATATTTGGATAAGTAATTTTCTGATAAGTTTCTGTGGCAGCCAATAGTTTAATTTTGTGAAGATTTGTCATTAAATAGTGGAAATAGTTTAAATAGTGAAGCAGTTGATTTTTGAGTTATTCTACCAGATTTGGTGTGCAAATGAAAGAAGGTTATAAAGTTTAGTTAAAAAAACAATATAAATAGTTTAAATAGTGAAGCAGTTGATTTTTGAGTTAATCTACCAGTTCGGTATCCAGATGAAATCGTGTTAATGGAGTTTAGTTAAAAAACAAGATAGCGAATGTAAGTTTACCTTCTTTTTTATGAATAACAAAAATGAATATTATATTTCAAACAATCCATAATCCCATTCAGAATCTGATTCTTTAAAATCAATGATTACACTAGATATGTGGCTGGTATCAATTATATCTTACATTTCAAGAAAATGTCGTGGTTCTAAAAAGAACCGTTTTAATACATATAAATATCCATAACGGTATTAGTTTAAGATATTTTCTCAATATCATTCCGGAATTCACAATCTGATTCGCGAACGACAGAAACTGATAATAAAGATAACTCAGCCTCTTTTTCTAATTGAAACTAATTTAATAATTTTAATATTAGTCTTTGTTCATTCTCGGTATATCTCGGAATATTTAAAATATTTTTATGACAATAAATACAAAATTTAATTTTCACTGTAGGTAAAATGTCTGAAAATACTAACCTGGAACGGCAATTATCATTTTATCAGTTGACATTGTGAAAGTACTGTCACTGTCATTATCAAGATCATCTGTGTCAAATTATATTTATATGCATAATTGATTGGATATCTATTTAGCGTATTCTAAACTCCAACCAATTATACGTTCGTAAGTAGAATTCGCTTTAATATGCGAATACCCGTGACCGATACCTAATTTTCTAAGTTCTATGTATAATAATCAGGACTCACGTTTTTTTCTGTCACTTTCACAAGAAGGGTTTGGGGCGGACTGTATACAAAAAATACTTACCTCAGATTTGCTGCGGGCTTTTCTTTTCTTGCTATCGCGTTTTCTCTGTGTAAATTCTGCATAGCTCAAACTTGGAAGATTTGCTATCCTTAAATCTAAGTTAAAATTTGGAGGGCCATTCTTGCCTCCGTTCTCTGAGGTCTCGGATATGCTGCGTACTCGCTTGATTTCGGGTTCGACGTCAGTTTCAGTTACGACGTCGTTGTCGAAATCGTTTTTGATATTGGTACGTTCCGCGAGACGTTTGATAGTATTACCTAAATCTAACTTTGGTGTTTCTGGTTTTTCTAGAATATTCATTTCTTCGTCCATTCTAGAATCGTGACGAGTTTGCCTCTGATAAATAGATCTGGTGTCCTTTTTGTTGCCGAGTAGTTTGCCTTCGACCATGAATTTCTCGTAACGCTTGCCCTTGCACATTCTCTCAGATTTCCTAGGTTCTTTTAAGCCGTTTGAATCGGGAAAGCTGTCTTGATATTTTGCAGGTGAGACTTCCATAGCCTAAAAATAAATTATATCAGAAAATAACGTTATCTCGAAAAAATATTGAACAAACCGTCAAAATATGAAAAAAATACTGTATTGTGTTTATCTAAACATATTAATTACCCGAGATATATCGGATAATTGATAAATTTAAATGTAACAATAAAACACTGAAAACTTTGTTTTCAAACTTTCACAAAATTTATTTTAAAAAATAAATTTTGGACATCATTAATATGGGTTTAGAAGCTGACTCAGTGTTTCCAAAATTTATAGCTAAGCTGTTTTCGTCTTTTTCATACGTTAAGCATATGACCTGTGTTTACTAGGTAATATTTACCCTTATTTGTGATTTTCCTGGGAGCCTTCTTCGGTTTCGTTTCCTCCCTGCTCCTTAGTCCTAATCCCTTTTGGGATGTGGTGACACCATCAGGCCTTCACAGTTTTTTTAGGATTTTCCTCCATCCTTCTCTGTCCTGGGCTAGTTGTTCGGCTTCATGTAACCCTTGGTTAATTAATGTTTTTGTTTGATCTACCCAACGGCTTGGAGATTTTCCCCTAGGTCTTTTTCCTTCAACTCTACCCTCGACTATCAGTTTTTTCATCGTGCCTGTTCTTCTAGCAATGTGTCCAAAATACTGCAAATATCTCTGTTGTATTTGTTTAAGCAATGTATTCTTTACTTTAAGTTGTTCTAGTATCGATACGTTAGTGCAATGATCAATCCAGGATATTCTCAACATGCGGCGGTATACCCACATTTCAAAAGCGTCCAGTTTATTTTTATCCGCTTTCGTTTCGGATGCATATGTGGCTATGGGAAAAATGAGCGCCCTTACCAGCCTTAGTTTTGTGTGTATTATTATGCTAGAATTTTTCGAAATTGCTATCAGTTTCATCATGGCTGTTCTAGCAATAGTCAACCTTCTACGTATTTCTCTGTCACACCCTCCGTCATTTGTTATTAGCGACCCCAGGTATATGAAAGTATTTACTACTTCAAAGCCCCCAATTTCTTTAATGTGTTGAAGATTATTCCGAGCTCTGTCTACTATCATGATATTTGTCTTACTCGTATTTAGCTTTAGTCCATATGTTTTGCTTTTTTCCTCCAAACATCTCATTATGTCTTCCATTTTTCCTGATTTGCCGCGATTATTAAAGTGTCATCAGCATATCTCAAGTTACTGATTTTTTGACCTCCTACTGATATTCCGCGCTTCCATCCGTCTAGTACCTTTCGCATAATGTGTTCGCTGTAGATATTAAACAGAGTTGGCGAGATTATGCATCCCTGCCTGACACCTGCCTCTGTTCTGAAATGATCGGAATGGGTCTTGTTTATTTTTAATATTGTTCTGAAGCTATTTTCTTGTGGAATTTTAAATTAATTACTATTTAACTGGGAATAAGCCACAATTAAAGATAAAAAATACGTTTATTGACGTTTCAATTTCCACTTCAGAAATCGTTCTAATACTGTTTGTATTTTGAGAACGATTTCCGAAGTGGAAATTGAAACGTCAATAAACTTATTTTTTTATCTTTAATTGTGGCTTATTCCCAGTTAAATAGTAATTTGTTTATTTTTACTGTGCACTTACTATTTACATATAGACTTCTAATTAGTTGAATTAAGTGGTGGGGTGTTCCCATTTCCGCTAGTATGGACCATAGCTGCTGCCATTTGACTTTATCGAAGGCCTTTGTGTAATCCACAACGCACATAAGCATAGGAGTATTGAATTCACGAGTTTTTTCGATTAGCTGTTTGACATTAAGGATGTGTTCTCTTGTGCCACTCTTATAATTTTCCACTCTCTTACAATTCTATCTTCTCCCATTCTCGCTACATGTTAATTCTAATTTCTTTTTCGTTTTCTTCCCCATCTTACTACATCTTAGAAATTTTAATTTTGGCTGATATCTTTGTTTCTTACTCGATCCCGTCTAGTTTTCTCTACTATAGATCTTAATATCTCCACCTCAGCTGCTTTTAGTTTTCTTTGTACCAAATGTTGTTTATATCGCGTATTCAGGTATTGATCGAACACGGGTTTTACAAACTCTTGCTTTTGTTTTCAATCCTAGGCGCTTGTTTGCACACTATATCCTTTAATGCAGCTGCAGTGGTTGCTGCTTTTCTGACTGATTTTGATTGACTGTTTATTTATAAATATCTCGGTACTTATTATATCCTCTTCTAAATATTTAAAAGACATAGATTGGTTTATTATTTTCTCTACAATTTCTAATGCTGTCTCTCTTTCGTCGTTTTGTTAAATGTGTATAGTAGTCTCTGTAGATCATCTTCGCTGCTGGCTAACAATGCAGCATCGTCTGTGTAACCTGTGATGTTGACATGTGTCTCACACTTTGTAACCAGTCAGCTGTTTTACACTTTCTATTAGTTTGTACATTAGAGTTGCTGAAAAACCTTTAGAGTTGGTGCAAAATATCATGAACCTTGGAAACGAGTATGTCCGAAAAACTAAATCAATCCTAAAAACAATGACTATTTTACTTTCATAAGTCAAGAATTTATAAAGCAAGCCTAAGACCAATAATGACATATTCCTCAAAAACAAGACCCAATATAGCCACAACAAAATGGGTACTGGAAACTGCAGAGATGAGATTACTGATAAGAATTACAGCAAATACGCTGAGAGGTCGAAAGAGAAGTGAATACAGAAGAAAATGTAACACACAGTGTATAACCGAATGGATACTAAATAAAAAAAAAAGAATGCAATAATAACATAAGCAGAATGGAGGAGATCCGTGTCGTCAAAATAGCAAGAGATAAGTCACCAAGTCGGTAAAAGAAATATCGGAGCGCAAAAGATGTAGTGACAACCTTCCATAGAGGTAGCAATGGACAGACAGGAGGTTGGCAACCGCCAATGAACAAGCAGAATTGCTTACAAAGATGAAGAAGAATTTCATACTAAATTGCACAACTGTACCCTTGAACATCTGCTAATTTAAAAGTGGTGTTTCTTGCTGTCACTTCAGTTTTTAAACTGGCCTCTATCTTTTCAATAGGGTTAAGTTTTCGAAGGCAGAGTGGTCGTATTCTGCTAGTAATTAGTCTACAGCATACACAGGGTTTTTATGTTTAGTACATAGAAAAAGTTTTAGATAAATTGGAAGAAATTTTTCTTTCAACCCTTTCATACAATTTTAGTAATTCATGCCGTCATGAAAATCGCCACTGTTTAGTCCGAATTTGAAAATGAAAGCAGCATTTTCAACAAATCCATTTTTATCACCACAAGTAAAGTTATCAGTCATTGCCCTTTAGATACAGGACATTTTAGGCACATGTTTCGTCCATCATTCCAACCTTTTGGAACCGTGTGTTTTAAAAAATGTTTTCCCCTTTTTCGATCTAAATTCTAACTTCTTCTACAATATTTCTAAAAGATAGTTTACCAGTTACAATTCCTTCATTTCTAACAGATTTGTACACTGCTTTCATAGTAGGTCTTCTTTTGTGAATATTAAAAAATGTATAAATGGTATTTCTTATAATGTATTCCTCAAATGGATTAACCGATAACTTCGGGCTATGCTTGCAAATGCTTCTTTTTGGGTAAATCAAATTTTGAAGTATATTATTTGTTTTCACTTTATTTAATTACCCTTTTTACCATACTTTCTGATACACCAGTTGCTTAATCTACCACCTGATAATACTGCAGTTTTTTTATATAACCCGCCACAGTTTAAAAAGTAATCTACGAGATTCCACAGTCACAGTGCGCTTGGAGAGGAAAGGAAGCATTCCTTCATCACCAAAGATAAAGTACAATATAAATTTCATACACACATAATATTTAAATTATTTGATAAATTTGCATTTAACTTATTTGGTCATAAAAATAGCAGTAGCACCTTAATATATATATATATATATATATATATATATATATATATATAATATATATATATGTATATATATATATATATATATATATATATATATATATATATATATGTATATATATATATATATATATATATATATATATATATATATATATATAATATATATATGTATATATATATATGAAAATACAAATATTCTTACCTTGTTTGCATCCTGCAGCATGATACTTCCGACTTCCTGATTGGCTTCTATGCCGTTCATTATATTTCTCACACAGCCTTTGGATTCAAAATATTCAAAATATCGCTTCTTGATCGGTTTCGGCGGAGTGGTTGCTTTGGTAGTATAAACAGGACTGATGAAGGTTTCGTCAAACTTCTCCTGCTTCAATACATTGTTGTTGCTTTCCAGTTCTGTCTTTGGTGTGGAAACGAAATTGTTCATGAGAGAGGTGAGGCCACCGAGTTGAGATTCGTCAGCCAATTTGCCGGGAGTAAATTCGGGTACAGGCGAGGTTAAAGTTGATGTGTTATTGGAAGGACTAGATATGGGTAGATGGGGTTTTGTAGCTGTTATAGGACGGGTGTTTAAAGTGCGCAATGGAGGTGCCGGAAGTTTGTACCATCTGAAGTCAGGATTGGCTGATAGGAAGGCGTCTTTGTACTGAAACGGAAGATATTATGTTATACAAATATTGTTTATTTAGTATATGTGAAGTTATAAAACATTATTTACAGACAAAAAGGCGTCGAAACTTTGAAATGTCAAGTAACATTTTTTTATTCTTTAAAATGGAAGAAAACAGGCGTGTTATAATTGCCATTATTAAAATTACAAAGAAGATCAGAAAACGCTTCAAGAAATACGAATAAGAAAAACTAAACTTGGAAGTCGAATCAGGTAAAACTATATTTAAACTAAAAAGTCACTAGTCGTCATGTCAATGGTCAGTAATTACAAATTACATATAGAATAATAGTCTTGTCATTAAAATTTACAATGAAATCATTGTTGACTACTCACAGAGCAGATACGAGTAAAATACTGCTCTTTGTACGAAAGAGAAATAGTAGTAGCGAACAAGTATACAACATGCTTCTCGGTCTTAGCAACCAGATGTACAACCTTGTTTGGAACAACAAGGTCAAAATATCCTCCTGGCACGTTGTAATGATTACTGACTTTTTCCTCTTGATGTGCCTATCCGTTGCGAATGTTGGCGATCATCATGGCAATATTTATCTTATCTGCAGCAGTGCAAAAAGCTGCACAGATGTTGTATTTAACCAGATTCTGAGGTTCTTTAACCAAGATGTTCTTCCTGGACCTCGTTTTTCAAATATTTTTCCTTGCAGGATGGCTCAAAGGAGAGCATAATCTGGATTCATTTCGCATAATATGTCCGAAGAATTGTAACTTTCGAGATTTGATGGTGGTCATTAACCTCTCGGTTTTTATTAATTCTTCTGAGGGCCTCCTCATTTGTGACTCGGTCAGTTTTCTACACATATCTTCATTCAAGGTCCACGATTTAACACCATAAAAAAGGAGAGAAGACGTAGCATCGAAGCATTCTTACTTTTGTATTAAGAGAGAGGTTGTGACTCTTGAAGAAGGCCCCCATCCGATTGAAGGTGGATCGAGCTTTTCCGATGCGTGCTCTAATCTCCTGGTTGTTGGTCCATTCTTCATTTATTATGGTACCGAGGTAGTTGTAATGCGTCCACTCTTTCTACAGGGGATTGGTTTACATAGAGTTGACCTTCTGTTATCCTTTTCTTGCTAATTATCATAAGCTTTGTATTCTTAACGTTTATATTGAATCCATATTGTTGACTGTAATACGTGATTTTGTTCATAAGAACTTGTAGGTCTTCTAAGTTGTCCGCAAATACTATGGTGTCTGGTGTATATATCTGATGTTATTTAGCCTGTAACCATTTAGTAGAATACCTTTTTAGTTTAGTGCAAAGCTTCGATACAAAATACAGCCTTGCCTCACTCCACGCATGATTTTCATATCGTCACTGTGTTCACCTTCAACTCTGAGATTTGCTGTCTGATTCCAGTAAAGATTTCTAATTATTTTCAGATCTTGGTTGTTAATTCCTGCTTCTTTTAGTATTTGCATCATCTTGGCGTGCTGTACTCGATCAAACTCTTTCTCGTAATCAACCAGACATGCGTATACATTACAATTGACATATCTGCATCTCTGGAATAAGACTTGTACTGAGAACAAAGCCTCTCTAGTACCAACAGCATTTGTGAACCCGAACTGGTTGGAGGAAATTTGACTTTCACACAGTTTGTAGATTCTCTTATAAATTATCTTAAGGAACAATTTTAGGTGATGACTCATGAGGCTTATAGTACGGTAATCTTCGTATTTTTTGGTTCCTGTTTTTTTTTTAAGTGGAATAAACTCAGATTTCAGCCATTCTGTTGGTATTTCTCCAGAGTTGTATATGTTGTTTGAATATCTTTGCGATTATTGCTATTCATTCGTTGTCCATTAATTTGAGTAGTTCTGCTTGTATATTAACAGGGCCTGTCGCTTTGTCATCCTTTAACTGTGTTATTGCGGAATAAACTTCCTGCTGCAATACTCTAGTCTAATACGTTTTAGACTTACTTCGTCAATTTGGCCTATCCAACAATGACATTCTCAATAGATTGTTGGATAGGCCAAATTTGACAAGTCTAAAACGTTATATTACATAAAACACTTTTATCAACCATCAATTTCGAGTTTTTTATCAAAGCTAATTAATTTTCTTCAGTTGAAAAAACGTTTCTTGGCTTATTTTAGATGCCCCTGAAGATGATCTAGGAGCGAAAGTACATTAATTAATCTAGGGCAAGATTTAATAAACAAACTGTGAGCGATATCTGCCTTTCATTTAATTAAAGTTCTTTTATTTCTCTGCTTCTCATTTTGCATCCTCTTCCTTTGTTACCGCTTTTGATGATTTCATCCATGATTAAATTGAAGAGCATGGGACCCTTGTCTTATTCCGCTGCCTATTTCTATAGGTTCTGAAGTTTTTACTCTTTTTGCACTCCCATTTGCCTTCTCTTCTCTTAATCGGCTCTCTTCTTTGAGCGATTTGATTTGCTCCGTCAGTGTATTAACTGACCTGAAAAGCTCATTGGCTTTTTCGCGGGACTCCATTTATTTTGTTCTTTTAACTTCCTCCTCATCTTCTGAGGAGTCTCCAGTTGGCAGCTGTCTCTTTTTTTTCTGCCGACCTCCGGTTCGGCTTCATGCACGATGGAGATGACGTCTACCATGGGGGCCATCTCTTCGTTGATTGGGGGTGGGGCTTCATTCGACTCGGTGGCCGGGCTCAGCTTCTCGTCGGTTGTTTCCATCTCTGTGGTGGTAGAGACGCTGTCGTCTGTTTCCACCTCGCTTTGTTTGTCTTCTTCAGACTCTTCTGGGACATAAGAGTCGTCGTCGGATGTTGTGGTGTCTTCTAAGTTATTCTCTATTCTGACTTTCATTTTGTTGTTTTGGTAGACGTTTTTAAACTTTATACAGTCAAGTCACATCTTTTTTTATTAATCAATCAAAAGACTGATATTTTTTGTACACACTTATGACAAGTCGAAAGAAAATGCAAAAAAGTATTTTTGAAGTGTGTATATTTTAGGCAATTCCTAGCTGAGCGCTTTCGGCTTTACAAAGCCATCATCAGAGCTATGGTCAATTTTAAATACCACTACAAAGGAGAGATCTCATTTCCTTAAGTTTCACAATATGATTTTGTAGGAGTTGGAATTTTTAAACATATAAAAAAAAAAAAAAAAAAAAAACATATAAAAGGTCGACACTGGACGTCACAAACACGTTAAAAAATTGAAAAATTTTTTGTCATGGTACGGGTTTAAGACCCGACCATCTATTGATGTGAGGATGTAGACTGAATGATTCAGTCTACATCCTCACATCAAAGATGGTCGGGTCTTAAACCCGTACCATGACAAAAAATTTTTCAATTTTTTAACGTGTTTGTGACGTCCAGTGTCGACCTTTTATATGTTTTTTTTTTTTTTTTTTTTTTTTTTTTTTTTTTTTTTTTTTTTTTTTTTTTTTATATATTTAAAAATTCCAACTCCTACAAAATCATAATTGTGAAACTTAAGGAAATGAGATCTCTCCTTTGTAGTGGTATTTAAAATTGACCATAGCTCTGATGATGGCTTTGTAAAGCCGAAAGCGCTCAGCTAGGAATTGCCTAAAATATACACACTTCAAAAATACTTTTTTGCATTTTCTTTCGTCTTTTTTTATTCTTTAAAAATAGAAGAAAACGGGCGTTTTATAATCGCCAAGAAGATCACAAGACGCTTCAAGAAATACGAAACCAGGAAGTTGAATCAGATAAAACTATATTTAAACTAAAAAGTCACTGCTCGACATGTCAATGGTCAGTAATTACAAACTACATAATAGAATAATAGTTTTGTCATTAACATTTACAATGAAGACATTGTTGACTACTCAAAGAGTAGATCCGAGTAAAAAACTGCTCTTTCCGCGCAAGAGGAATAGTAGTAGCGAAGAAGTATACAACATGCGGTCTTAACAACCAGATGTACAACCTTGTTTGGAACAAGGTCAAAATATCCTACTGAAATGATTACTGACAGATGAGTTAAAACCAGTAAGTGAAGAAATTCCACAACCTCGGCATAACACAAAGTAAAGAAAGGCAATATAACAGTTGTTAACCAACTATTTAAACACTTACCAACACGAAATATCAATATTGGAAAAATATTTCAACTACGCCATAGTCTCTAGTCAAGCACAAGAAATACCAAATCATCGAAAAATAGTACTTCATTCTAATCAAAACTCCACAACAAGGAAACTCCTAAACAAGGAAAATTCCAAAATTAAATACTATAAAACAAAAATAAAATCTCTTCTTGAAGGCTCAACCCAACCACATACCACTAAAGAAATAATTACCAAATCTCTGTTGTCTGTTAGCAGTTAGTATGAGTTAAAATGTTACTCATTACTCCACGACAGAAATACAACCACGTCCTTTGTCCTAATCTTTCCTGTTTGCCAGAAATACACAAACGAAGAGTTACACTCAGATCTATCGTTAGTACTACAAGGTCAACAAATTAGAACCTGCAACCAATGATATTTCATCGGAATGTTTACAAAGCTATCGGAATAAAAGAAAAAAACTTCTAAATGGATTAACACCTGGAAATATATGAAATGAAAAAGTAAATTTAAATTACTAGATGCATAATTTACATTGTTCTGCTACCTGAAACCTGAAGGTTTGCATGTGGATATCTGCATTGGCCTTTCGAAGTGTTTGTCTATTGATTGGTCTATAAATATTTAAAAAATCGTGTCACACTTGGCCAATCAACAAATAGGACCAAAAAACAGAATTGGAGAAGACCTAAATGGTTTTATGTATCGACTTACATAAAAAATATTGTTCTGAAGCTATTTTCTTCCTGTGGCATCTTAAATAACGATTTCCGAAGTGGAAACTGAAATGTCAAAAATAAACTTATTTTAAACTTAAACTGTGGCTTTTTTCCATTAAAAGTAGTAACTACATAAAAAATGTAAGAGAGGGTATTTGTTTAAAAATTGTACCTAATTTTTATCAACTCAGAAT